TCGAGAAAGCATGATGGGAAAAATACCATGGTACGAACATAGACCTCGGCATATATATGACTAGCGACTGGCTCCATCATACCACTCAATACCACACTGGCCTCCATCATAACATACATACCCATTACTCTTTGTTAGTAGCGCAGAGCGGCAAAATCAACTTATCTTAGCGCTACCATAATATATGGTCATGGCTCGAGAGGCACGCAGACACAAAGCAAAATTTGATTCGAGCGATCAAAACATCTCTTCGGTGAATCAAGATGGAGTACCAGATGAGAGGCCGGTAGAACAGAGCATTCTGGAACTCAATCGTTTGATTTTTTTACGCCCGCGCGACCCGAAACTCTTCGCACGACGGGGTGAAGCGTTTTCTCAGCTGTACGACCTGTCTTGGTCAGCGTGGTGCTCGCCCAACTTAAAGTATAGAACGTTCCTAGGCAATCGGCAATCATCGACCTCCGTTATGTAGTCATGCAAGGTAACGTCTCGCATGCAATAGTACGACATCGACTTGCAAGAATGTTAGACATGCGTGGCTTAAACTGGCTTCGGTCAGGGGATGCCCATGCGGCCTTGGATTGTTTTGCAGAGGCGAGTCAACTTGACCCTCTGTGTTCTCAATTCTTGGTACATCGGGCCATCGCTCACACTAAGCTTTGCGCGTATGTGCCCGGCGGGTTTTCATCGGCGCCATAGTAACGTATGATCGCTCATAGGTTCGATGCGGCACTGAAGCATCTTGGCCGCGCGATAGATATGAGCACACATCCGTGCATGGAAGTAAATTCACATAAGTTAACATTGGCTGAATGTCATGTCTTTCGGGCAAAGTTGTTTTGGGCACTTGGGCTTAGAGAAGCGGGCACGAAAGATATGACGATAGCTATGAGTCTTGCTCCTGACCATATCGAGGTGAGGCGATTCCATGATGCATTGCAACTTAAGGCATCAGAACTGTACAGTTCAGCTTCATATCACATGGTTCGTGGGTGTTTTCCCCTTGCGATACCACTCTTGACGGCTGCTATTCGGATTGTACCCGATGATATCAAATTGCTTCTTACGCGAGCCGCCGCGTATCGGCAAGTAGGGACATGTGAGTTGGCTCTAGAAGATCTGGAGAAGGCGTCGCTTGCTTATCGTAGTATTATGTGGCCTGAATCTGATATTTTGAGTCCATATAGTATGAACCGTTCCCAAGTAGATGCGGCGCAGCTCCAAGAACCGTCTTTCAATTGCACTTAGACTGGTGTAGAGTGTCCTTGTTTGTAGATTGTGAGAGAAATTTTACATCAGGTATCAAGTTGTGCGTCAGCGGAATCTAGCATACAATGATCTGGCACTTCTAGCAATGCGGCGATTCCAGCACACGGATGCTATAACCCTTCTCAACCATGCGATCGAGGCGGAGGTGGAACTGGAAATGCGTTATTCAGATCATCATCCAGATCATCGATTTTATATAAACCGCGGGGATTGTTTTATGGCATTAGGAAGGACAGAGCTTGCGACAGCAGATTTCAGTATAGCTTATGCAAGCGCACCACTTGATTCGACAGTCACTACTCGCATTTCGATGATGCACTACAACCTGGCAATACCACTCTTCAATGGGGGCGACTTTTCCAGTGCCGAGACTGAACTCTCCGTGGCAATTAAATATAGTCCCAAAATTGCACAATACTATGCATGTCGTGGTGAGGCTGCTTATTACCAGCACAAATTTGATTCGGCATGTCTCGACTTTCGTCTGGCCTTGAGACTGGACCCGACGCCCCTGTCAGTGTGTGCTCCTCACGTTCAAGAGAGCGAGAGTTTGTAGAAATAATGGATTCTTCTGGTTTGAAAACAGAGCCCCCATCCCCGGTACGCAGGTTATACCATACTCGTACTCGACTCCAGCAATTTGAACCCTTTTGCACATCTCACGGCAATCCACATGCCTTGGTGATCTCTGGTGTGCCATCCAGAGCTATCCAGCAGGGCAGACGCGTATCCGCTGGCTCGACCCTAGTCCAGCCAATCCCTCGTGATGGTTACAAGCTGCCTAGGATTTCTGCTGCGCTGGCATTGACGCATTCATCTACGGGTGAGAAGAATCGGCATACCTCGCAGCGGCTAGATACTCTTCGGACTCCTGTCGATATAAGGAAGGATCGACAGCTTTGGTCCATTGTCTCCTCAAGAGCAGCACAAGCTTCAAGTAGCTAACTTGTGATCAGTATCATACCTGCCTTCTGCTCCAGATAAGCAGGGGCCGCGCCACATTCAATTTGTGGGTTCCTGCTGTTTTGATATCCAGGGTGTTTGGGCGCGCGCAGGCGCTGTCCATAGAAGCGTAGGCAGCTGCGAAGAACCTAAGCCCCGCCTGTGACAAGTTACCTACACCGCAATGTAGCCGGACCCCTCATCATAGAGTAGGCTGAATCAAAACCTAGAAAACTAGGCTGTCTTTCTTCCTTATCCCAGTACACATAGAAAACAGTCAAGTTATAAAAACCAGAGTCGTCGATGGGCTCCCCCCGCCTCGCTCCCGGCGGGCTGCCCTCGAGGTCAGTCGGTGGCAGGACTCGCTCCTCGAGCGCACGCGGCGCCGCGGCGCGGCGATCGTGCACCACTGGTGCCCGCGCAGCTCTCGGCGTGTGTGGGGCCCGACGGCGGACGCGAATCGCGCCGCATTCTGCTGAATTCGCTCTGGTACTCGCCGCGCATCCGAGGCCGGGCGCGGCGGCGGTCGCGGTCGCGGAGGCGACAGCGAACCCACGGAAGCCGGCCGGTTCAGGGCTGCCTGAAGGCGAAGGTCGTGTTTGACGTCGGCGATGAGACCGGGGTGCGCCTGATCGAATTGCTGCCCGACGACCGGCGCTCGGAGCTCGAACCGAAGTGGACGTCGTACCTTTTGAGACGAAGCTATGGTTCGAGCGTCTTTATCGGCCCACAGCCGCGCGATAATGCGGAGTTGTGCAGCGATCCCAGCAGCTTCGAGCTGAGGCGCAGCACGACAAGTACGCCGGGCTACCCCATAATTTACATTACCTTGCTCCCTACCATCGCAACGTCACACTATGGAGATGACACTGCACTTCGGTCGTACCGCAACGTCCCTTACCCTAGTTTTGGGTATTTCCCTCGAACTTACGGCCGCCTCACGGTGTGGTGGGCGGCGGGCGTTCTGGTTCTTCGTCTGCTTCGTCGTCGTTTCCGTCTAGGGCCCGGGAACGAGGGGAGCCTGAGGCTGGCAGCCCCTAGGCTTAGGCCTGAGGTGAAGCCGGTGGTGAAGCCACTGATGAGGGCAAGGTGAGGGAAGAGGACCAACTCCAGTCATAGGGGCAGAGCAACCGCGTAGACTAGGGAACGAAGGGGAGACAAATCGATCTGCCGACGCCGATGTCCCTGCGAAATAATCACAACGCCGTCGCGCTGGATTATTTAATCTACGTCGGCTAGAAGGGACGCCGGAGGCTGGCCGGCGCCGGCAACCTGCGCGCCGATTTAATTCCATTTTAAATCAACCATAGCCATTGAATTTCGTCAACATTGACGACAACGATACCTCGACAGCCCGGTCCGCATCGCATCTCCGCATCGCTGCGCTCGACCGACGAGATGCTTGGTGAACTGTTGGACGTCCAGAGCTCCGCGAATATGAAGGGACGTGCAACGATCCCAGTGGCTTCGAGGTCCGCAAACATGTGGGCGAGGCACCTGCGAAGACGCGACATCCAAACGATTGCGAGGTGGCGCAAACGGGCAGCTTCAGGGGGTGCAGTGAGGCTCGGCAGCGTCCCCCGACCCAATTTCGGGTCGCTTTCGAGCCACAGAGCGTCGGGAATCGTTCGTCATGGGGGCCACCAGATGCTCTCGCGACAGCTCCTCGGCTCGAGTCGATTTGATCGAGATCATCTCAGCGCCTCCGACGGGCGCGCGGCGCCGCGGGTGACACGGTGCTCACCGCGCAATGAATGAGACGTTCGGTGCGCCAGTGCTAAGCAGAGACCTCCGGGAAAACATTCCAGGGGTGGCTTACCCAGGGTCTAGCGCACCGCTCGACCTCTGGAACTAAGTTGGGCCCCTCGTCGGTCGCCCACCATCGTTAACGGCCGTTCTCGTCATCCACGGGCTGCCCCGACGCGAACCAAGTTGCTCGCCATCGACCGGTGGTCTTTCCCGAGCGACTCGCAGTCGGGCCCGAGGCGCGGCATGGTCCACAGACCGAGCGCCGCGCCAAGTCCTGGAACCGCTGCATCGGACGCCCAGAAAACCGTGGTCGCAGAAGATACCTTGACTGCATGATTCTGTTTTTCAATGGCCATGGTTGGTCCAAAAACACGATGATGGCATATTAAATCATGCGCCATCTGGCAGTACGGGGACCGCGCAGGTCGCTCTTAGATTAAATCGTAGCCCGATCATCAGAAAACGGGACCTCCGAAACCATAGCGCAACTCTGACTTCGTATTAAACCCCCTTAGAACCTAAGATGAGCAACCGCGGCCGGTACCACTCGGGCACGGTGCCGCAAAGACAAACTGCCAGCGAGGTTATCGTAATATGTGGCTGAGGAAGGTTAAAATGCAACAATCTTGGCGCAACTCCGTCCCGAGATTTCATAGTGCAACTTTGACTTCGTATTAAACTAGTAGGAGCGCAGTGGGGTAAGGTGCACTGCAACATCAAGATGCAGTTCACTGAAGATGAAGATAGAAATCTCTCTATCTCTCTAGAAGTTGTTGGAACTAGTCACACTATCAACATCACAGCAATCACAAATGATAATAATGGAAACCAACATAAAGTTTATTCTATTGGAACTGTTCCTAATCCAGATCTTGAATTTGCGGTTGGTGATGTTATTGTATTCAATATGAATGCTTCTGGTCATCCTTTCCACATAAAATTAGAGCCTTCAACGGGTGTTGAGGGGTCGTTGGGAGAACCTCTTGTTACTAATGGAGGAATAGATGTTGGTTCTGTTACGCTAAAACCTACTGCCCCTGTTGTATTGTATTGCGTGCGAATTTCATTCTCAAATGTATGGGAAAATAAATAACTATAAGTTGAAGTAGTTGAAGTAGTTCGTCTCACGACCCCCTTGGAACCTAACTTGAAACTTCCTCCACGAGGGGGGGCTGGGATCGATTGGTTGTAAATACCAGGAACGGGGGCCAGCGGGCCGCACTTGTAGGGCGCAGCCACTTCAGCGGCCGGGGGACGGAGGAGGATAGGGTATACCTCTGAAGTGCGAATTGTTGCCTCATTCAAAGTGCGTTCTAAGCAACCTCGGAGAAATGAATCTCTTCCGTGAATGTGGCGGCTTGTGTTCTCCACTTGAAAACCCACAGCATCGGGAAATGCGCAAATACCTCACGTGTAGCTCCAAGTGCTTGACATCATGGCATAAACATTCGCGTCGACCTTGACGTCGTCTTTTGTGGCTAGGACTTTCTCTGGGTGAGTAGAAAGGGGACCAAGCCTCACCCCCCTCCAATCTTCACCTAGCCACCAATCGCTTCTTCCTTTATTTTCGTTCTTGCTGGCGCTTGGCTGAGACTCCCACCAATTAGGACGAGTTATCCAAAAATTAGTGTCGACTCGCTTAACAAGATCACCGACAGAGTCGCAGTTCCGAAACACGTTGAGGTGGATCTCTTCTATGGCTCGCCGAAGCGAAGAAAGACGCCAGAATTCTGCCTCTTTGTAGAGATTCATCACAACAATGTGATTTTTTGGTAAGATTCCATCCCTCAGGAAAATAAGTACGTATCTGAATATCCACCAATCGCGGTCGATGTATGCAATTTTTGCTCGATCAAAACCATTGGAAGTAAATAGAGGACAATCTATTGAGTTGAGAGCTGCCAAAAGTGAGTCGGGATCTGACACTAAAAGCTTCTTGCTTAGTTCAAATATCTCCCCTCCAACGTTCAGACGCAGTCGAGGCATTGATGCATGCGTCAAATGTTCCTCGGGGAACCAGTTCTCCCTAAGACGATGTTTTAGCGCCTTGTTGTCAGAATCGATGCTCCCCTCAGCTTTCGTGGCAGTCTTTCGTTCTTCTCGCAGAAACGCGCGTTGACACGCTTGCTTCCGCGCTTCACGACGTAGCTCGCGGGCACGGGCCTCGAGGATCGTACGCCCTAGCTCTACCTCGCATTTATGGTCCATCGCAGATTGACAGTTTCCGTCCACTTGGCCGTTCGTAATCTCCAGCCAGGCTTGTCCAACAGTCTTGTGGGCCGATAAACAGCAAGTATGGGTCCAAGGATATGGACTGCCCTTACACGACGCACCTGCAAAGAAGAAGCCTAGAAAGAAGCGCAAAGCCGCGCAAACCGCGGGCCCCACGCAGGAGAAGTAACTAGCTCCTAACTAGCCGCTCTAGAAGCCCCAAACTAGCACAGGCGCGTTTGCGTCGTGTGCCGGCGCAAGCCGGATTCGACTGTGCCGGCACACTCCGGGGAGGCCGTCTCTGTGTCGGCGCGCCTACCGGCACAGCGACCTCATTTGCATTCTACCTTGCGCACACATCCCTAGCCCAAGGCTGTCACACAGTTGTACCACTCTGGCGAGTGGCGTCAAGGATATGCCACACATCAGCATAACGCAAATTTTGCGGACTGAATATTGACCAGCCTTGCGATAGCCGCTCCCTTCCGAAAGTAGGGCTAGCTAGCAAGAGATATTTGCCTTTGAGCGCCGGATTGTAGCACAACAAGCTCCGCAAAAGAAGCGTAATTTAACGTTGATGAGTCCACCCCCGTGTCACACTGCTCATACTATCTACGCGATTTTTGTGCTGGAAACTTGTCGCGGAATTGGTATCGATGGCACCAAACCGCGCCTTCTTTCAGCTATGGTGTTTTGTTAATTTTGCTGCAGAGACCTGGATATTTTTGAAGCGTTGAGTCTGTTGCGCCTCAATAGCATCTGCCAACTGCATTTCTTTTACTCGGTTTTCATCACGAAGCCGTTCCACGAGACGCAGCTTGTGATCAAGTTCGGTGAATTGCTCTGACTGCAGTTTCTGTAGTCGTTCCTCTTCTGATTCAAGAAGATCTTGTTTCATGCGCCGTGCTAGAGCTGTGCGCATCATCGACCGCCGAGCTTCTAGGACCGACGATTCATCTTCATCAGCTGTTTTCTTAACACTCGACTTTAGGCCTGATGGCATACCCTGTTCAACATGAGTGTCTTGACTTCCTTTGGTCAGTCTCTGTTGACGCTCTGCGTTTTTCTTTGCTATGATTCGATCTCGCTGTTCCTTCAGCCGGAGTTCCCTCCTTAGCATATCCGCAGCAGTGACGCCGGCCTGACCTTGAATTTCACGTTCTTGCAGTCTACGCTCACGTAAAATTTCTTGATTTCGATTGAACGCAGCTTCCGCAACACGCCGGCGCTTCTCGTGCATTTCAATCTGGATTTGTTTTGCCTTCATTCGATTATCCCCCGAGCTACCAATCCTGTCAAGTTTCGTATAAATCAAGACATCATAGGGTTGGCGCACGCACTTGTCCTGCAGACTTGCATGAAAGCGTTCGATAGGCGCATTCAAGCTTGGTCGTGGAGAAACTATTTCACTCAATTTTGACTCGGCAACGATGGACAGTCCGACCACTTCATCTGAAGGAACAGGGGACTTCCTTGTGGATTCACATTTATTGCATGTGTAATCTGAGTTGTACTCGCAGGGCTCATCACGTTGATTCGGGGATGCATCCGCTTCAATTTCATTCCTCAGAGCTTTCATCCGCTCCTTTTCAGTTGCAAGAGACTCAGCAATTGCCTGCAAACAATATTTAGGGGGCCAAATAAGCAGCATCCCAAACACCTGTTCAAGTTCCAGTTGCTCTATTTCTTCTCGTTTGTGAAGAGCCTCTATCTCCATCAAATTCTGGTCCATAGCATCACACAATTCTTTGTCAAATAAGTGCCCCTTGACGGAAGAGTTGATCTGACTCTCGGTCTCGGATTCTTTTATTTCAGCGAAGGTGGTATCTTCTGATTCCTTGACAGCCCGTTGAAACTGTGCTTCCGCTTCTTCTTCGCTTTCTGGGGCAATTATTGGCACTTGATCCTTATGTAACGCCTTCAGAGCTTCATATCCAAGTTCCACATTTCGCTTCACCATTAGCTTTTTAAACGTAAGAAAGTCATCCATTGCGATCATCTGTTCATATACCTGCATTGATATGACTTGTTTTGCGATAGTACACGCAATCAGGGGCACCTCGCGATTGATCTCACGATTGTGTCGAGCATGCTTGCAAGCAGCAACTAAGAGATCATTGCTGATACCAACCTTGTCAAGTTGTGCATCTATCAACGCCTCAATTTCATCCACGAAGGCGCGATGTATTTGTGAATATTCAAATTTATTCTCTTCATCGTTGACAAAAACCGCGCAATTGTTGTCTATAAACCCCATCACTGCTGCATCCCACTCCGCTGATTTGAGAAAGTGTAAAATGTAATCAAAAATCCTATGCCATGACCGGTATTGAGTAGGGTGAAACAAAATGTCGTACCAATCGCTATCTTCTTCATCTGACATTTAGATCAATTTTCACTCTTCCAGATCACACTGCTTGGAGGATTAAACGCGCAATATGAGGAATGATACAAGAAATAGAATGATATAATAATATTGAGATAGAGAGATAGAGAGAGAGAGAGAGACAGCAAGGAGTCGACCTGAGCATGGGGGAGGCGGATAGGACACTTTGACCCGGGTTGTTCCCACCCCTCAGAAACCGACGCGTTTGATCGCGTGGGGCAGGCCTTCGAATTAAGTGCGAGCATTTTTCTGTGAGATTCATGGCTTTCGTCCCGCCAGCACTCTGGAATTTTCCACCGCGCGTCGCCATCGGTAAGATTTTGCTTACTTTCAACAGGAGCCGCTTCCGACGGCGGGCGCCGTAAGCTCACCGCGGCCGGTGAATTAAGTGTGAGGACCCCGGCTCGTAGTAAAGCAAAGCGTTTGGGTTGATTTATTGAAGTAGTAATCGGAAACTTCATCGAAATCGTACAAAACTGCATCGTTTCGACCGACGGATAACGCTGAGATGATGCGATGCGCCAGCGCCGCGCCGTTTTTGCGCTAGGTGGTGCACGAAAAGCGCGCGTGCTGCGCCGGACAGCGACGACGGGGTTCGGGAGCGCAAAAATTCCTGCTGGCGGCCTTCCGCGGCGAGACTGTCGATCATTGCGACTGCGGGGCGCGCCCCCACTCTATTTTTGCATCCCCGGGTTCATACACCGTGATAGCATGGGGCAGCTCATCACCTCTCTACGGTCGCCCTGCGACTGA